ACCTGGGGAAATTGCACTAATGTCCAAAGACCATCTCCAAGTTGTTTGTGTGGAGAAAAAGGTTTTATTTGTTTTTAATTTATTTTATTGAAATATAGTTGATTTACAAAGTTGTCTTAGTTTCTGGTGTACAACAAAGTGAGATATATATATATATATATATATATATATATATATAAATATATATATATATATATTCTGTTTCATTATGGTTTATTACAGGATGTTGAATATAGTGTCCTGTGCTATGCCATAGAGCCATATTGTTTATCCATTGTATATATTGTAGTTTGCATCTGCTAATCCCAACTCCTAATTGATTCCTCACCCACCCCTCCCCCACTCCCTCCCCCTTGGCAACCACAAATCTCTGTTTGTGAGTCTGTTTCTGTTTTATAAAAAATTCATCTGTGTCATACTTTAGATTCTACATATAAGTGATATCATACAGTATTTGTTTTTCTCTTTCTGACTTACTTCATTCAGTACGAAAATCTCTGATTCCATCCATGTTGCTGAAAACGGCACTATTTTGTTTTTAATGGCTGAGTAATATTCCACTGTATATATAATCCACTTCTTCTTTATCCATTCATCTGTCAATGGATACAGGTTGCTTCTATGTCTTGGCTATTGTGACTAGTGCTGCTGTGAAAACAGGGGTGCATGTGTCTTTTTGAATTACAGTTTTTTCCAAATATATGGCCAGGAATAGAACTGCTGGATCATATGATAATTCTATTTTTGGTTTTTTGAGGAACTTGCATAATGTGGAAGTCCCAGAGTAACTGTACCAATTTACATTCCCACCAACAGTGTAGGAGGGTTCCCTTTTCTCCACGTCCTCTCCAACATTTGTTATTTGTAGACTTTTTAATGACAGCCATTCTGACTGGTGTGAAGTTGCACCTTACTGTGGTTTTGGTTTGCATTTCTCTAGTAATTAACAATGTTGAGTATCTTTTTATGTACCTATTGGCCATCTGTATGTCTTCCTTGGAGAGATGTTTGTTTAAGTCTTCTGCCCATTGTTTGATTGGGTCGTTTGTATTTTTGTTACTGAGATATATGAGCTGTTTATAGACTTTGGAAATTAAGCCCTTGTCAGTCGCATTGTTTACAAGTATTTTCTCTCAGCCTGTGGGTTGTCTTTCCATTTTGTTTATGGTTTCCTTTGCTGTGTGAAAGCCTTTAAGTTTAATTAGGTTCAATTGTTTATTTTTGCTTTTATTTCTATTGCTTTATGAGACTGACCTAAGAAAATAATGATATGATTTATGTCAGAGAATGTTTTTGCCTATGTTCCCTTCTAGGAATTTTATGGTGTCATGTCTTATATTTAAATCTTTAAGCCATTTTGAGTTTATTTTTGTGTATGGTATGAGGGTAGGTCCTAATGTCACTGTTTTATAGGCAGCTGTCCAGCTTTCCTAACATCACATGCAGAAGAGTTTGTCTTTACTCCATTGTATATTCTTCCTAGGTGACAAAGATTTTAAGGATTTTTGGGGGGTGGGGGTTGCTGCAGGGTGCATGAGCAATTCTTGCACAACTCGTGAGTTGGTTAGCATAAAGGTGAAATTTCAAGCATCACCCATCTTCTGGTTATGTATCTGTGGCAACAGTTTTTGTGTGTGCAAAGTCACTTCAGTTGTGTCCAACTCTGGGTGACCCCATGGACTATAGCTTGCCAGGGTCCTCTGTCCATAGGATTCTCCGGGTAAGAATACTGGAGTGGATTGCCATGCCCTCCTCCAAGGGATCTTCCTGACTCAGGGATCGAACCTGAGTCTCTTATATCTCCTGCATTGGCAAGTGGCTTCTTTACTACTAGTGCCACCTGGGAAGCTCCAACACTTTTCATGCTTCCTATAAAAACAACTTAGGAATGGGTTGTTCTTTATTCTATATCTTTCAGAGAACCAGGAGTTTGGTGGCTATTCTGTGGCTGGCTTATTGTCTAAACTGTTTTCACAGCTATTCTTATCTTTCCAAATACAAAATAAACATAAATGGCATATAAATGAACCATATAATTGTAGTCTTTTCAGTTTGGCTTCTTTTACTCATCATAATACTTTTGCGATTCCTCTGTGTTGTCACATGTGCCAATAATTTGTTCCTTTTTATTGCCAAGTAATATTCAATTGCAGGAATGTGACATGCTTTGCTTTGTTTATCTATTGACTAGCTGAAGGACACCTAGATGATTTCCAGTTTTGATACACTGAAACCTGAATAAAGCTGCTATAAACATCAGTGAGTAGGTTTTATTTGAGAATCAATTTACATTTCTTTTGAGTGTAAATATAGAAGAGGGAACTCTGGGTCATATGATAAGGTCAATTTTGTAAGAATAAAGTATGTCTTTTCCCTCAGGAAAAAAATCATTGTGGTTGGACTTCCCTGGAGGTATAGAGGATAAGAACCCACCTGCCAATGCAGGGGACACAAGTTTGATCCTTGGTTGAGGAAAATGCCACATGCTGAGGAGCAACTAAGCCCATAAGGCACAACTACTGAGCCTGAATGCCACAACTACTGAACCCTAGTGCCCCAGAGCATGTGTTCTGCAGCAGGAGAAGCCACTGCAGTGAGAAGCCCAATCACCACCGCCAAGAGTAGCCCCCACTTGCCACAACTAGAGAAAGCCTGTGTGCAACAAAACAGGCCCAGCACAACCAAATAAGTTTTATTTTAAAAATCAGGTGGTTATTTTCATTGGGATTATATTAAGCTGATGGCTAGTTTTAAATGGACATGATATCTTTAATCTGGTGAAAATTCCCTTTCATATTCCTTTCATTTATTTAAATTCCATGTACATTTGATCCTCATGAAAATTTTAGAACTTTTTAAAAAATTAATTATTTTAGCAAATATTTATGAGGGTCTGTAATGTGCTTTGCAATGTTTCAGCACTGGCGCTGAAGATTTAAATTCAAAAATTGTAGATTAAGTTGGAGTAAAGCTGCTTGATATCACTAAGAAAGTGAGGATATATAAAAAAGAAAAGAGATACAAACATAATAATCCTAGGTATAAGACACAAATAACAATAAAGAAGCTGAGAAGTCTCCACCATAATATCATGAATGTTATACTGAAAAAGAAACACAGAGAAACCAGTTGTGATTAATGAATAATTAACCATTGGAACTATGGCAATTAAATCATTAATCCGTAAATTCACAGGAAAAGGCTTGGCAAGTCCATTTAATTTTTTTAATGTTTGGCCATTTTTTCAATACCATTTAAAAAAATTCATTCTTTATTCATGATTCAAAAAACTGTTATTATATCTTAAATTATTTTTGACTCTATCAATATGTTTTCTGTCACAATGACCAGGCATCTATTCTTCCACTAAAACCAGACTTATAATTTTGTTGAAATAACTGATGAGAACAAGCCTCCTTTTACTTCCTGTTTCTTGAAATTTCCTTGGAGGCTACCCTGGTGGCTTCATTAAGAACCTACCTGCAATGCAAGATAACTGGGTTCGATCCCTGGGTCAGGAAGATCCTCTGGAGAAGAGAATCACTACCCACTCAAGTATTCTTGCTTGGCAAATTCCATGGACACGGGAGCCTGGCAGACTATGGACATGAGTGAGCAACTAACAGTTGCACTTTTGGTTGATTTCAAGAACTTAGTTTGGGTGAGTAAACAAAGATAAATGTAGATGAATTTCGGAATACTTGACATTTCTGCAATGTCAATTCGTCTCATACAAGGATATGATGTATCTCTTTATCTATTAAAATTTTATTTTGTACTTTTCAAAAAAGTTTAGACCTTTTTAGTATGACTTGAACACTTTAATACAAGGTCTAGCAGAGTATCCAGCACTTGATAAAAGTAAAGCCAAGGGGTAGAAAGAGTAAATGGGTGAATTTAAATACGTAAGTCCAGCCAGCATGTCAAAGAAGAGTCAGGACTCAAGGTTCTGGACAATTAGCCCCAAGCACCAAGTTCAGCTCTCAGTATGTGATTTTATTATGCCTACCTGGCCAGAAGGTAGAGAGATTTTACAAGTTATGCTACTCTTTATGTGGGTCATGCTGACTGTAGCCTGACATTGCACTAGACCCTAGGAAACAGATAAAACCTAGGCCATTTCTTGGAGACTTACAAATTTCCTATGGTAATGCAACTACCTATTCATGCTCTTAGAAGTAGGCTAGAGGGTTCAGGATGCGTTCCCATGTGGCACATTCTGCAGTTAGCACTTTGCAGCACGAGATGTTTCCATGGTAACAACATTCCCACTGGGGTAGCTTCTTCCATCTACTCCCTTCTTCCTGGTTCAACACTTCATGGGGACCCTGATCCCCATGGCAGGACCAAAAACAGCAGTGGTACTAAGTGTTCCTGAAGAAAGGCTGGCTCCTCAGAAGTCACCCACCTAAGATGTAGAAAATAGCGAATGCCACTGTGAGGGAGAAGGGACCTGTGATGAAGCTGCTCAGTCTTTGCCTGAGACACCCATCAATAACCAGAGGGACAGTGAAAGGATTAGAGACTCTGCCACTGTGCTAAAGGTCAGAGTGGGAGACATGCTATCTGTGGCCATGGACAACACTTTAATCCTTCCAGGCTGCTGAAGTAGAGGTGTTGTGTACATGTTATTTTGCTTAATGTTGATACACAATCCCCATTCAACAGATGACAGAATGACTTGATAAAGTTGAAACACACTTGCCTATGGTCCCACAGCTTGTCAGGGACAGGGCCTAGGTTTACCATCATTCTGTCTGACCCTGGTCCCCATGCTCTCAATGATCACATGTGTCACTTCTCACCATCTCCCAAGACCTCCTGCCTCACATCCTCCCCACAACACAAACACACACACTGGGCACATTGAGCAATGCTGCAGTTATTTAATTAGAGTCAGACTGATACAGACCACATCAGGTGGGACAGGTGTCTGGATTCCAGCTTCAGATGAGAACAGGGCAGGAAGTGCAAGTGCAGGCTGGCATCCCTGGCAAAGATTATGTCACCAAAGATGTCAGACTGAGACCTAATCCTGAAGCAGTGTTCACCACCGATGACAACGTATAGCCAGTGCAGTCTTTACTGAAGATGATGGAAAGCTGGAAGGGAAGAGGAGGAGGAGGGACAGGATATGAGCCCATACCTGGGCTATCCTGTCTCCCCAGGATCACCTCACACCTCATGCCTCACCCTCAGGGATTCAGCCCCATCCCCAGCAAGAACCTCTGTCCACAGACCCACCACTGGAGAGGGGGCTGCCAGCAGGCACCAGGGGGAGGATGGCTCCCTAACAGGCCAGACACAGGCATCAGGAGGGAGACAGAGCCACCAGCCAAGTAAGGAAGGGGAGGAGATGGCAAGGGTCAGCAGGGCACAGCCAGGACTGGTCCTGAGGTAGGAGCAAGGTCCCGAAGTCTGGGCTTGGGTCACACCTCCTGCACCTGAGCCTCTTCTGTCAGGAGTGCTACATGGACAGAATGTGCATGTAGGTGTTGTAAACAACCCACGTGTCCTGTGAGCTTCTACTAGTGAATGAAACTCTACTCATGGCAAACTTCTCATTTTAAACACTTCATTACAGAAAAATATGCAGACAGACTATTCACAATCTCCAATGCTGTCTGACAAGAACAAGAAAGAAAAGATAGGCTGTCAGTAGATATATTGCTAGCTCAGGCGAGCAGTCACAGGTACCTGGAAGCTTCCTCAGGAGCCTCAGGCACCAAAACACCACAATGGAAAATCAGGCTTGTAGACATGGAGACCATGTCAGTGGAAATGGGGCTATCAGCCCGAGAAATGGCCAACAGAGTGGGAACAAAAGGAGGTGACAAGATCACAAGCCAGAAACTTCACAAAGCCAGGGAGTCCCAGGCTGGAAAGAGGCTTTTAAGGCAGGGGCTCCTTTTCAATATTCCTAAAATAGAGCTGGGGCTTCCTAGGTGGCTCAGCAGTGAAGAATCTGCCTGCCAAGCAGGAGACATGGGTTTCATCTCTGGGTTGGGAAGATCTGCTGGAAAAAGAAATAGCAACCTATTTCAGGATTCTTGCCTGGAAAATCCCATAGACACAGGAACCTGGAAGGCGATAGTCCATGGAATTGCAGAGTTGGGCATGACTTAGGGAGTAAATCATCTACACCAAAATAGAGCTGACAAAACTACATGTGTGTGAGCTGAATCCTTCCTTTCCTGCCAAAAATTAAAATTCTACTCCTCCAATGCTGGCTCCAAAACCGAAGGGGAAAAAAACACATGAGTCAACACACTTGGCCTATTGCACTGATATTAGTGTGACCTGATTGGCATGATACAGACATATTCAGTAACAAGAGGCTGAATGTGCAGGTAGACTGCACTTGCATATTATAGGTGCTGTGGGAGTGTGAGAGCTCAGTCACTTCAGTCATGTCTGACTCTTTGTATTCCGCCAGGCTCCTCTGTCCATGGGATTTTTTGGGCAAGAATACTGGAATGGGTTGCCATTCCTTACTCCAGCGCATCTAAATGACATAGGGATGGAACCCATGTCTCCTGCATTGCATGTGGATTCTTCAACACTGAGCCACTGGGGAAGCCCATTAAGGTGCTGTAGGGTGGACCAAAGGTTTATGTAGTTAATAGCTCTTTAATAATTGCTCTTGTCTGTCATTCATCCCAAGACTGCATAATCTATTACCATGTGACATACTGCACTAAGCATATGTGAGAGCTGGGGAAGAGTAGATTACCTCGATTCTCAGATGATTCAACCTGTTCCCAAGTCCGTTCTCAGCGAAGCAATCTCGAGTTTTTTGTAGTGCTACTTTTTCTGCATCGGTAGCTTCAACCAAATCGAGGGTGCTGTTCAACAATTGAGGTGGTAATGCAAGGGATACAGTGGTAAGGACTCCATAAAAAACAGGGCAGGCTTCGGCTGAAGGCACAACAGAAAATACCTTGTCACAAGAATAACCAAGGTAGAAGGTTCCTGTTTCCTACCACCTGATAGGAACTCACACATCCAAAGCTTCAGACTCACCTGCCACAGGGACCCACCCTCTCTCAGGACTGCTTACATCCCAGACAGAAAACCTTCCCTATGAGGCAGTCCCAGCAGAGGGAGCCGCAAGAGGGGCTGGGCCTGGAGATCCTTCTGCCCTTGACCACCACTCCCAGGTATACCAGCCTACTTCCTCCCTTCCAATGAGAACCATTACCCTAAACAAATCCCCCAGGGTGTGTGTGCAGATAATGACCCATCCAGCTCCACACCACCCCCTCCATTCAAAGACTGAAAGCCTCAGGGTGTTTGTGCCAGACTCCTGGGCACTGATCTGCCAGCTGCCCTCAGAATCTGTCTGTTGAGGCGGCTTGGACAGGACTGGGGAAGATGCAGTGAGACAGCACCGGGCAAGGATCAGGAGGGCCATCCAGACCCTCCTTCCTACCCTCACGCATCTCAAAGGTCAGCTCTCTGGTCACCAGCAGGGCCAGCAGAAGTAGTGCTCCCTTCATCATGGTGGCAGCTGGAGTGCTCTGGGCAGGGTTTCTGCTGCTTTATAAACCACGAGCTTCCTGAGCCCAGCCCACATCCCTCCCAGGCAGACCACAGGCCTGTGATCATGCAGCTGGTACAGGTGACTCCCTAGGTCGTTGGGGTGTTTACTGTGGAACACCATCCTACTCTGAGAGCAGAGCTGGAGGACCTGTGGGGATATCTTTGCTAAAGACCAAGTGGAGCTGACATTTCTGACTCCATTTGGAGCCAAGTGCTTTGTTGTCCCACTCCCAACCATCATCTGTTTTCCTGAGCATCCATCCCCCAGCCCATCGTGGTTCCAAGGGCAGCACTCTTTCAAACTGAGCAGATGGAATCACAGGAGGGTCAAGGACAGCTCTATACCACTGTCAGGTAGAAAAATTTCATCCAGAATCCTTCCTTTTCCCCCCAAATTTAAGTCCTGGGGATAAGAATGCCGCACTGGGCCTTATTGAAGCCCCTGAATATCTTAACATCTTACTGAAGCCCCCAAATATGGTAAGCCCCCAAATATCTCTAGACAGGGCCCTGATGACTGGTGGACAGTAACCTTGGACTCTGAATCATTCCGATCCAGGAACTCTCAGGACTTAAGTCCATGTGGGTTTTTTCAGGGGCTGGTAATTCTGTAATTTTGAATCATGCCACCAGCTTTTCTCAAATATTCAAGAGAGAAAGTTCCTATGTTCTAGACCCCTAGTGGCTCCAGTCTTTCCCCTTCTCCTGGCTGTCCCACCCTCCTCCAGTGTGAACCTGGTCTCAAGAGATGTTTGGACTGCAGTCTATCCAGAGGCATCAGGGAGTAGCTGTGGGGTTGTAGAATTTATCTCCTGGGGCAGATGCTCTGAGGTCCACAGCCCTACAGGACACTGGGGATGGAGGATATAAGGCCCAGAGGGTTGGGTCCACCACAGGGGGCAGTGCATGTGTGTAAACTCTTCCAAGAGACAAACTCAACCTTCCATGCTACCAAAGCAGTTTGTTGGGACAAACAATTTGAGATAATCCTTAAAAACTCTGGAAGCAAAGTCTGAGAAACTCCCAATTGCCAAACTAGAAACAGTTTGAAGACAAAATAAATAAAAGAGAATTAGATGATAACCCAAAGTATAAAGTAATATGTATCAGTCCATATTGATATACATATCAGTTCAGCTCAGTCACTCAGTTGTTTCTGACTCTTTGTGACCCCATGGACTGCAGCACGCCAGGCCCCTCTGTCCATTGCCGACTCCCAGAGTTTACTCAAACTCATGTCCATTGAGTCAGTGATGCCATCCAACCATCTCATCTTCTGTTCTCCCATTCTCCTCCCACCTTCAATCGTTCCCAGCATCAGGGTCTTTTCAGATGAGTCAGTTCTTCATATCAGGTGGCCAAAGTATTGGAGTTTTAGCTTCAACATCAGTCCTTCCAATGAATATTCAGGACTGATTTCCTTTAAGATGGACAGGTTGGATCTCCTTGCAGTCCAAGGGATTCTCAAGAGTCTTCTTCAACACCACGCTTCAAAAGCATCGATTCTTCGGCACTCAGCTTTCTTTATAATCCAACTCTCACATCCATACATGACTACTGGAAAAACCACAGCCTTAACTAGATGGAGATTTGTTCGCAAAGTAATGTCTCTGCTTATTACTATACTGTCTAGGTTGGTCATAACTTTTCTTCCAAGGAGTAAGTGTCTCTTAATTTCATGGCTGCAGTCACCATCTGCAGTGATTTTGGAGCCCCCAAAATAAAGTCTGACACTGTTTCCATTGTTTCCCCATCTATTTCCCATGAAGTGATGGGACCGGATGCCACGATTTTTGGTTTCTGATTGTTGAGCTTTAAGCCAATTCTTCACTCTCCTTTTTCACTTTCATCAAGAGGCTCTTTAGTTCTTCATCACTTTCTACCATAAGGGTGGTGTCATCTGCATATCTGAGGTTATTGATATTTTCCCCAGCAATCTTGATTCCAGCTTGTGCTTCCTCCAGCCCAGCATTTCTCATGATGTACTCTGCATATAAGTTAAATAAGCAGGGTGACAATATACAGCCTTGATATACTCCTTTCCTGATTTGGAAGCAGTCTGTTGTTCCATGTCCAGTTCTAACCATTGCTTCCTGACCTGCATACAGATTTCTCAAGAGGCAGGTCAGGTAGTCTGATATTCCCAACTCTTTCAGAATTTTCCACAGTTTGTTGTGATCCACACAGTCACAGGTTTTTTCATAGTCAATTAAGCAGAAATAGATCTTTTTCTGGAACTCGCTTGCTTTTTTGATGATCCAGCAGATGTTGGCAATTTGATCTCCGGTTCCTCTGCCTTTTCTAAAACCAGCTTCAATATCTGGAAGTTCATGGTTCACATATTGTTGAAGCCTGGCTTGGGGAATTTTGAGCATTACTTTACTAGCATGTGAGATGAGTGCAATTGTGCGGTAGTTTAAGCATTCTTTGGCATTGTCTCTCTTTGGGATTGGAATGAAAACTGACCTTTTCCAGTGCTGTGGCCACTGCTGAGTTTTCCAAATTTGTTGGCATATTAAGTGCAGCACTTTCACAGCATCATCTTTTAGGATTTGAAATAGCTCAATTGGAATTCCGTCACCTCCTCTAGCTTTGTTCGTAGTGATGCTTCCTAAGGCCCACTTGACTTCACATTCCAGGATGTCTGTCTCTAGGTGAGTGATCACACCATCATGATTATCTGGCTCATGAAGATCTTTTTTGTATAGTTCTGCTGTGTATTTTTGCCAACTCTTCTTAATATCATCTACTTCTGTTAGGTCCATAACATTTCTGTCCTGTATTGAGCCCATCTTTGTATGAAATGTTCCCTTGGTATCTCTAATTTTCTTGAAGAGATCTCTAGTCTTTCCCATTCTATTGTTTTCCTCTATTTCTTTGCACTGATCACTGAGGAAGGCTTTCTTATCTCTCCTTGCTATTCTTTGGAACTCTGCATTCAAATAGGTATATTTTTCCTTTTCCCCTTTGCTTTTCACTTCTCTTCTTTTCAAAACTATTTGTAAGGCCTCCTCAGACAGCCATTTTGCTTTTTCATATTTCTTTTTCTTGGGGATAGTCTTGATCCCTCTCTCCTGTACAATGCCATGAACCTCCATCCATAGTTCATCAGGCTCTCTGTCTATCAGATCTAGTCCCATAAATCTATTTCTTACTTCCACTGTGTAATCATAGGGTATTTGATTTAGGCGATACTTGATTGGTCTAGAGGTTTTTCCTACTTTCTTCAATTTAAGTCTGAATTTGGCAATAAGGAGTTCATGTTCTGAGCCACAGTCAGCTCCCGGTCTTGTTTTTGCTGACTGTATAGAGCTTCTCCATTTTTGGCTACAAAGAATATAATCAATCTGATTTCAGTGTTGACCATCTGGTGGATGGCAATGTGTGGAGTCTTCTCCTGTGTTTTCGGAAGAGGGTGTTTGCTATGACCAGTGCATTCTCTTGTTAAAACTTTATGAGCCTTTGCCCTGCTTCATTCTGTACTGCAAGGCCAAATTTGCCCATTACTCCAGGTGTTTCTTGACTCCTACTTTTGCATGTCAGTCCCCTATAATAAAAAGAACATCTTTTTTGGGTGTTAATTCTAAAAGTTCTTGTAGGTCTTCATAGAACCGTTTAACTTCAGCTTCTTCAGCATTACTGTCTGCTGCACAGACTTGGATTACTGTGATAATGAATTGTTTGCCTTGGAAACCGAGATCATTCTGTCATTTTTGAGACTGCATCCAAGTACTGCATTTTGGACTCTCTTGTTGACTATGATGGCTACTCCATTTCTTCTAAGGGATTCTTGCCCACAGTAGTAGATATAATGGTCATCTGAGTTAAATTCACCCGCTCCAGCCCATTTTAGTTCACTGATTCCTAAAAATGTCGATGTTCACTCTTGCCACCTCTTGTTTGACCACTTACAGTTTTTCTTAATTCGTAGACCTAACATTCCAGGTTCTTATACAATATTGCTCTTTACAGCATCAGACTTTGCTTCCATCTCCAGTACATCCACAACTGGGTGTTGTTTTTGCTTTGGCTCCATCTTTTCATTCTTTCTGGAGTTATTCCTCCACTGATCTCCAGTAGCATATTGGGCACCTACCGACCTGGGGAGTTCTTCTTTCAGTGTCCTATCTTTTTACCTTTTCATACTGTTCATGGGATTCTCAAGGCAAGAATACTGAAGTGGTTTTCCATTCCCTTCTCCAGTGGACCATGTTTTGTCAGAACACTCCAGTATGACCCATCCATCTTGGGTGGCCCTACATGGCATGGCTCATAGTTTCACTGATTTAGACAAGGCTGTGGTCCATGTGATCAGATTGGCTAGTTTTCTGTGATTGTGGTTTTCAGTGTGTCAGCCCTCTGATGGAGAAGGTTAAGAGGCTTGTGGAAGCTTCCTGATAGGAGAGACTGACTGAGGGGGAAACTGGGTCTTGTTTTGATGGGCAGGGCCATGCTCAGTAAATCTTTAATCCAATTCTCTTTTGATGGGTGGAGCTGTGTTCCCTCCCTGTTATTTACCTGGGGCCAAACTATGGTGGAGGCAATGAAGATAACAGTGACCTCCTTCAAAGATCTGTTGAATGATTACATTATTATATGATTACATAAATGTGGGAGAGGAGACAACCAATCCTTACAGAAACATCCTGAATAACAGTTGTAGATTATCCCATGCAGGAGGGGGAAATTACTGCCCTGCCCTCTCTGACCATGGGCTAGACTTAGGAACTCATTTCCAAAGAGATGGAGAAGGAAATGCAACCCACTCCAGTATTCTTGCCTAGAAAACCCCATGGATGGAGGGGCCTGGTGGGCTACCATCCAAGGAGTCACAAAGAGTTGGACATGACTGAGTGACTTCACCTTCCAGAGAGAAGAAGAATGGAAGGGGAAGCAGTGGAGAAACTTGGCAAACACATAAACAATAATTTCCAGTGGAAAGACACTGCTGTCCTGTGTACCCTGATGAAAGGGGATGAAAGGGCACTTCTCCTGTGTGGTGTCTTCTTCAAAACCCAAAGTCTGAACCCACTCTACATTATGAGAACAACAGCACACAAACTCTGCTTGAGGGTCCCTCTACCATCCTTGGCCAGTTCCCCTCAAGACTATCAAGGCCATAACAGAGTAAGGGATAATGAGTAATCCACAGAGGAGAGGATACTGGGGACACATGACAATGAAGGCAGTGTGTATAGTTGTGGGTTGGATCCTGGAACCCAAAGTGACATTAATGGACAATCTGGTGAAATCCAAATACAGTATGAGGTTCAGTTAGTAGTAATGTTCCAATGTTGTTTATCAGGTTTGACAAATATTTCAACTACTCTATACATCACAAATTATTCCAAATGTAATGTTATTAATAACAAATTGACAGAAGAAGCTCAATGTGGTACTGTGTGACAGGCTAAAGAGATGGGGTGGAGTGGGAGGTGGGGTAGGTTCAAGAGGCAGGAAACATACGTATGCTTACAGCTGAGTCATGTTTTATGGCAGAAGCCAACACAATATTGTAAAGTAATTATCCTCCAACTAAAAAGACATTAAAAAAATAACTTGCATTGGGAAAGGGCCACATCAGCAGCATTCCTCCATTGACCCTGACCAGCTCTTCACCCTGATGTCACCAAATGTCCCCACAATTCGGGGACATCTCAGAGGATCTTGTAGCACCTTCGGAAGGGCACTTGGCTGGATTTATAGCAGCCACCTGTGTTACTCAGCATTCTAATCCCTGGCTCCTCTCCTCACAGAGCTGCAGAAGGCATTGGGGGCAGTGTCTTCTGAAGGACAGAAGGCATGGGATCCATGGGCAGAGGTCCCACCACACAGAAGTCCTGCTGCCACAGACAAAGAGCCAGCATGTGCAGCCTGGTCCTTGTGGTGTTCACCTTCCTGCCCAGGAACCTCTGAGACATATCTGCAGCCACCTGAGTCCCTCATGGGGTGACCTTCAGAGCAGTGGCCCCCAAGGCAGCAGGAGCCATGGTGAGAAGGGGCTCCACAGAAATCAGCTGACACTGCAGCTCAGTACCTGGTGACTCTTTGCCAAGAGCAGTTACCGGATGTGAATCCTATTTGGCATAAGAGTTCTGACTGTGGTCATACATTGTGTCCCAACTTTAGATCATGTCTTCAATAAACTTTAATCCACCACAGGTGACTCAGAAATAACAGCCAGGTGCCTCCAGCCAAAAGCTATTTGATTCTGACTTATGAAATATTCTACATCTTTACCTTATTTATTTTCTCCCAGGCAATATTCATAAGCACATCCTATAGTAAATAAAACTAAAATTATTCTCATTTATTGATGCCAGAGAAATGGAATATTCCTGCCATTATTCTAACAAACATTTTGCAACATCTACTGAATGCTGGGCCCTCTCCTAGTCCTGGGATGCAGCAGCACACAGCACAGCTCTCGCTCTCCTGCAGCTCTTCATCACCTAAGAGGGAGTGAAAGACAGTGACCCCATGGGAAGAAGTGCTCTGGGTGAAGATGAAGCAGGGGGAAAAGACAGAGGGCCATGGGGGGAGGATGGAGGCAGCATGATTTGAAATAAGGGCTCAGGATATGGGGAAATCTGTGTCCTGTGATACTTAAAGACACCTGAGGATGAGGGAATGAATCAAGCAGCCACTGGAGGAAGAGCCTCCAGGCCAGGAGGGCTCCACATGCAGAGGCCCTGCTGCAGAAGCACACTTGGTCAGGTCAAGGAGCAGACAGGAGGCACTGAGAGAGGAGAGAAAGACAGGGATAAGTTCACAGAGGCAGCAGCAGTGCGGGGCTGGTTGTGCAACTGGCCCATAGATTGTGGCCTAGAAGGGGCTTGGCTTTTCCTCAAGTGGGAGCTCTGGAGAGGAGATGGGGGGAACAGTACAGAGACACTCAAGAGTAGAAAGAGGTTGCAGAAAATGGTTGGACCTAGAAATTGTCATACAGAGTGAAGAAAGTCAGACAGAGAAGCAGAAACATCTTATGACACCTTTTATATGTGGCATCTAAAAACACATGGACTTCCCTGGTAGCTCAGACAGTAAAGCGTCTGCCTACAATGCAGGAGACCCAGGTTCGATCCCTGGGTCAGGAAGATCCCCTGGAGTAGGAAAGGCAACCCACTCCAGTATTCTTGCCTGGAAAATCCCATGGACTGAGGTTCCTGGTAGGCTACAGTCCATGGGGTCGCAAAGAGTCAGACACGACTGAGCAACTTCACTTTCACTTTCTAAACCCACATAATATAAATGAAGTTATTTATAAAACAAAAACAGACTCACAGACTTAGAGAATGAACTTTATGGTTGCCAGGGGAAAGGTGAGAGAGAGTGAGGAAGTTTGGGATGGACGATGCTGTATTTAAAATGGATGGCCAACAAGGACCACTATTGCACAGGGAACTCTGCTCAGTGTTATGAGGCAGCATGGATAGGAGGGGAGTTTGTGAAAGAATGGATACATGTGCATATATATGGCTCAGTCCCTTTGTTGTCCTCCTGAAACTATCATAATCTTCTTAATTGTCTATAATCTAATACACACAAAAAAGTCTCAATTAAAAGAAAAGAAGAAAGAAGTTGCAGAAAATATTTCTGTGTAGAATGAGATGCTATCAAAGTTGCCAGGTGGAGGGACTTGGTCAAGAAAAAACTAGAAATTTCTGGGCCAGCACATAAAAGAGGTTTCCAGCCTCCAGAAACTTGTTCGGGGAAGTGGCCCAACAGAGGCCACTGACAAGATCAAGGGCACAGTGATAACAGCAGGGCAGGGCAGGAGCCACCAGAGAGCCTGACCAAGGGGTCAGGCCTTGTGCTCTGACTTGCCTGGCACTTACTCCCTTTGAGACCGTTCCTAAGCTCAGAGTATAAAGTCCACACCTGCCTGTCTTCAAGATCATGTGTTGTTCCGACAGGCTCTCATAGGCCAGCATTCAGGAGGCCTGATTTTTGAGCATTTTTGCCCTTTTTAGTCAACCTGGGGATTTTCAGTTGTTAAGCTTCCTGAGTCAGCTGCCCCTTCCACAGAGCCCTCCAGGGGGAAGGAGGCTGAGCCAGTGCCCTCTGTGGACTCAAGGACTAGCATCTTGCCAACACACATAATTCCTCCTGTGCAGCCCTGGGAAACACCAGGCTGTGGCCTGGCAGGATCTTCGGGAAAAGGAAGCATCTGACACAAGGTCCCTTGGGGTGAGGACGTGGACATGTTATGAAAAGGGCTCCAGGTGAGTAGGGAGCACTTGCCACCGGCACCATGACGCAGGCTAGAGCTCTCCTGCTGCTCTGCACTGCCTTGCTCCTCATTGCGGGAGGAAGTGAGTGGCTGGGACCTGGGCTCCCCAAGGGTTCTGACACCTTCCCAGGGCAGCACTGAGCATGTCTGGAGGGGAAGGGAAGAGTATGTTCTGATAAATGCCTTTCAAGGAGTGTGCCCTTATCTCTCTGTTTAAGATTGTGACATCTCCCCAGCAGTGAGGGAGGATGTTTACCTGTTTGTGAAGGGAACCCCTGAAGAATACATTGCTAAAGTGAAAGAATATAACACAAACAGTGCGATAGTGGCCAATGCCAGAAGGCTGAAAGGCAGAGTTGATGAGAAGTTGACAGAAGAGGATAAGCAGAATGCTCTCAGCATCCTGGTGGGTGAGGCTGTGTGTGGATGTGCCTGTGTGGGGAAGGGGGTGTCAGGTGTCTGCTCAGGGCACTGGGAGGTGGGGGGATCATTTCCTCTCCACCCTGGCTCTTCCCTGAGAACCTGAGAGCAGAAAGAACCTCATGAATGAGGAGGTAGAGAGGATGTGGCTGACACCCACAGGGTGGGGAAGGATCCTGCAGGAAAATTCAGTCTAGCCCTGGAGCTCCTGAGCTGGCCCTGACTGCTCAGCTCTGCCTGGTCACAGGCCTGGGACCCTCCAGGACCTCCTGACTCTGTGATGCCACCTGCCTTTGGAGTTAGGCCCTCAGCACTGGCCTCCTTGACTCCAGCCTCTCCAGCAGAGGAACCTGAATCTTCTGTAATCCATTCGCATTGAGTCCTTCCTTTCTCCAAATATCCGTTCTTTCCCTCCTGCTTTAAGTTCCTACTCCATCCCACCGAAACCCTACATTTCTCCTTGTTCCCTAGACCTCAAAGAGACATTTATGCCTCACATGCCCTAAGAGGAGGCTGCTTCCAAAAGCTGCCCTCCTGCCCTCCCCAGGCCTGGGATGCCCAGAATTGAGGATAAGGGTGAATCCTCTCTCTGCTGCCATCGAGGTGGTGGGACAAGCAGCTGTTTCAGCTCTTAAGTGTATAAGGGCCAGAGGGAGGAAGCAGACAGGGGTCAGCTCATCCCTGAAGATTCCCAGGAGTCACTCCAGAGCCCTGCAAGGTGGTCCTCAGCAGTGTCTCCCATTCTATCCCAGAAGACTGCCCTCAACCCTCCAGGGAGACCCCACAATCTCTGTTCCATTGGAAGAAAACTCCCTGGGACATATCTACCTTTACCTGCTCACATCCAGAGCCCTCCCTTCAAACAAGCCTGCAGACCCCTCCCCTGTGTTCAGAGCTGCTTCACATCGCATCCACCCCTGAGGCCTCACGAGATTTGTGCACCTCCTCTTACAGAATAAAGTATACTCAAGTTCTCTCTGCTGATGGAACTGTCCCTGCCAGGAGCCCAAGGAAGTCACTTGGCTGATCACTAAGTAGTGTCAGCAACCCACCATGTCCATGTCTGAGTAGGTAATACCAGAAATAAAAGGCCTTGCAATTCACAACAGAGTGCTTACTCACTGGAGATTGGGCTTTGGAGGTTGGGGAGAGGGAGGACGTGGCCACAGTGGAGACCACCAGTGTGCCTTCCACCTGCAGCTGGATTTCAATGATGTGAGATGCTGAAAGATAGTGAAAGTGTTAGTCACTCATTCATGTACAGTTCTTTGTGACCCACATGGGTTGTAGTCCAACAGGCTTCCTTGTCAATGGAATTCTCCAGGTAGGAAAGAATACTGAAATGGGTAGCCATTCCATTCTCCTGAAGATCTTCTGGACTCATGGATCTTGCTTTGCAGGTGGATTCTTTACTGTCTGAGCCACCAAATGTTGATCCTCCACAAATTCAATAGGTGGGGGAGGGTTAATGATCATTACATCAGCCAGAGTGTCTCATCACTTCTGTCAACAGGACCCACAGGTTATGAGCATCATCCACCAAATTTCTTCCTCCCAGCAATCTCGAGGGGTAGGAGTAATCATCCTCATCTTACAAGGGAGAATCTGAGGTTCAGAGGAGGTAAAGCATCTGCTGAAGAGACATAGCTCCCCCCACCCATCCATTCTGGGGAGACTACCTCGGCTAACTTACCCTGTGACTGTGCACATATTATAGTCCTTCTTTGGGCCTATGGTTTCCATTAACAAAATTGAACTATAACCAAAGTAAAATAATGGGTGAGAAGGGACCCCTCTCCTAAACTCCTGACAGTAGAGGAAGAACCAAGGGTCAAGGTTCACGTGCTTGGGCCTTAGTTTATCCTAAATCCAAACCCCCAGTTGTGGACTCAGCTGCTTCCACATAAACACACACTGAGTTGGGTCTCATGCTCAGAGTGCACGTCCAGGGGTCTGGCTGGGGCTTCTTGCTCCTCTGTGCCTCTGCTGCCTGCCCATGAACCTGGCCCCATGCTCATGCTGTCTGATTCTTCTTCACCTGATCCCACCCGCTCTCTAAGAGCTTCTTCCCACCCAACAGCTCCCCTCCAGAAAAGAGTCTGGCTGGGTTTACCCCACAGGGCTGGGTCTAGGATGGGGAATCTCTAAGGTCTTCATAGTTAGAAGGCTTAGTACAGGTCCCCAGGTTGATCCAGAGCTGCTGCTTCTCCCTATGGAGGGGACCCTGGTGGGTGCAGGGGAGGTCTCCTTGCCCCAGGTGACACCGGGCCCTTGTCTCTGCCCACCACTCCAACCCCACCAGGCTCTGTCTGGGGGTTCTCCTAAGATGGAGACCTGCCTCTGTGGGAGCTTAGGTGAGTTGAGCTGGTGTGAGCAGGTCCTGGGTCAGGGACCCTTCTCATTATCTGACTCAGGATGTATATTCCACCCCACCCCCAGCCAACTGTTGTAAAAGCTCCAGAGCTTCTGAAAGGACAGTTGCTACCCTGATGTGTTAGGTGATTCTTATAATGTCTTGAATATAGACTCACCCTGCTCTGCAGTGAGTGTACAGGTGTTATGGGGATCTATCCAAGTGAAAGGTTGTTGCTGAACGATTAGACGCGGGATTCTTGGCCTCCGGAGGAGACGAATTCAAACCGGGGCCAGAGACGAGGCTGGATCGCTCAGAGCTTTTGTGTAATAAAGTTTTATTAAAGTATAAAGGAGATAGAGAAAGCTCCTGACATAGGCATCAGAAGGGGGCAAAGGAGTACCCCCCTCTTAGTCTTTAGCTGTATGTTATATAGTCACTCACAGTCTGTTAATGAAAAGAATGTCATAAAATTTAGAATGGCACCAGATAATTCATCCCTAGCCATAAAACGATTGACTTGAATCTTGTAGAAGGGCAGAATACCAACAAATAGTTTCGTTTACATAGATTAGGGGAACAATACCTGAGTAAGTAAGTTAGGCCATTTGGCGGAACCAACTTGAAGATAGAGTCTGGGGTTCATTAACATAGCTTAAGACAACATTTCCATACGAAAAAGAAACGTATTGGTTAACTCAAGGTTTGAGAGTAGTTAGCTTCAGGTGAGACCAGGTGTCATGGCAACACAGCACTTTAAGAGAAACCTCCTTTTAAATTTGTATTAGCGAAGAAAAAAATATCGATGGTTTGTTTCTTCCTGCCGCTTAAGAGAGATAAAAAAGTCGGGCACCTGCAGCCTCTTTTTTTCCATTTGGAGACCCCTGGCCTTCCTGCCTGTTACCCTCTCACAAGGATGCAGCAAAGACAAGTAAGGGGTATTTGATCCTCCTGGGACAGACAGACAGATAGGTCCTCCTGCTCTTGCTCAGCTGCACAGAGCTCCCTGGGGCTGCTGGGAAGACACATCTGTATTGCCCACCCATCCCCTCCCCTCTCCCTGCCTTCCTTCAATCTACAGCACCCTTATCTAACCTGGGTTAGTAGAAAAGGGAGCATCTGATTTCACCCAAATCCTTTTCTGTCTAACATCCAAACCTCAGATGGGTGGAAAGGCAATTGTCAAAAAGCTGTGGCTTTTGTTCTCTGATTCTTACATGAATTTCCATCTGAGATCATAGACACCCCACTCATTTCCACCTAGGCCACCCTGAATTCACCAGGAGCTGTGTGAATCATCCCTCACTTCATATAATCTCAGGAAAAATATTATACTGGAAAACTATGGATTGATACAATTCATAAACAAATATATATAAAAAATTAACACAACCTTAGGTTATCAAATCCAGCAGCACATAAAATAATTAGCACATAAAACAAAGTGATGTTTCCCTTGGGAATGCATGTTTGGCTTACAATTCAAAGTCAATCAAGTAAGTCCACATATTAACAGAATACTGGAGAAAAGTCATATGATTATCTCAACAGATGCAGAAAATATGTTTTAAAAATTGAAACACTCACCTAGAGGAGTGGGATGGGGTGGAAGGTGGGAAGGAGGTTCCAGAGGGAGGTGACATGTATACACCTATGGTTGATTCATGTAAATGTATGGCAGAAACCAACAAATATTGTAAAGCTACTATGCTAGAATTAAAAGTAAATAAAGTATCAAAGTATTCATAATTGCAAGATTCAGGCTTAAACTGAATAAAGTAGGGAAAATCCATAGACCTTTCACATATGACCTAAATCCAATCCCTAATGATTCATTAAACAGTGGAGGTGACAAATATATTCAAGGGATTAGATCTGGTATACAGAATGCCTGAAGAAGTATGGATGAAGGTTTGTAACATTGTACAGAAGGCAGTGATCAAAACTGTCCCAAAGAAAAAGAAATGCAAGAAGGCAAAGTGGTTGCCTGAAGAGGATGTACAAATAGCTGAGGAAAGAAGAGACGTGAAAGATATAGCCAACAAAATCCAGAGAATAACAAGGAGAGAAGAGAATGCCATCTTCGATGAACAATGCAAAGAAACAGAGGAAACAATAGAATGGGAAAGAGTAGAAATCTCTTCAAAAAATTGGAGATATCAAGGGAACATTTCGTGCAAGGATGAGCGTAATAATGGACAGAAGCAGTAAGAACCTAACAGAAGCAGAAGAGATTAAAAGGAGGTGGCAAGAATACACAGAAAGATTAAAAAAAAAAATCTTAATGACCCAGATAACCACGATGGTGTGGTCACTCACCTAGAGGCAGACATCCTGGAGTATGAAGTCAAGGGGGCTTTAGGAAGCATTACTCTGAATAAAGCTAGTGGAGGTGATTGAATTCCAGCTGAATATTTAAAATCCTAAATAATACTGTTAAGGTGCTGTACTCAGTAGGTCAGTAAGTTTCGAAAATTCAGTAGTTGCCTCAGGACTGGAAAAGGTGAGTTTTCATTCCAACTCCAAAGAAGGGCAATGTCAAAGAATCTTCAGACTATGGTACAATTACACTCATTTCCCATGCTAGTAAGGTTATGCTCAAAATCCTTCAAGCTAGGCTCCAGCAGTACATGAACTGAGAACTTCCAGATGTATGAGCTGGGTTTAGAAAGGGCAGAGGAACTAGAGATCAAATTGGCAACATATGTTGGCTCATAGAAAAACCAAGGGAATTCCAGAAAAAATCTACTTCTGTTTCTTTGACTATACTAAAGCCTTTGACTGTGTAAATCACAACAAACTGTGAAAAATTGTTAAAGAGATTGAAATATCAGACCACTTTATCCATCTCCTGAGAAACCTGTATGCAGGTCAAGAAGAAACAGAACTACACATGAAACAATGGTCTGGGTCAGTAATGAGAAAGGAGTTCATCAAGGTTGAATAGTGTCACCCTGCTTATTTAACTTTTATGCAGGGAAAATCATTTGAAATGTCCAGGTGGATGAATCACAAGCTGGAATTAAGATTTCCAGGAGAAATGTCAACAAACTCAGATACACAGATGATATCACTCGAATGGCAGAAAGTGAAGAGAAACTAAAGAACCTCTTGATGAAAGAGGAGAGTGAAAAAGCTGGCTTAAAACTCAACATTCAGAAAACTAAAATCATGGCATCCAGTCCCATCACTTCATGGCAAATAGAAGGGGGAAAAGTGGAAACAGTAGCTAATTTTATTTTCTTGGGCTTCAAAATCACTGCAGATGGTGACGTAGCCTTGAAATTAAAAGATGCTTGCTCCTTGGGAAAAAAAGCTCTGACAAACCTAGGCAAGGTATTTAAAAGCAAAGACATCACTTTGCTAACAAAGGTTCATATAGTCAGAGCTATGGTTTTTCCAGTAGTCATGTAGAGATGTGAGAGTTGGACCATAAGGAAGGCTGAGCTCTGAAGCTTTCAAATTGTGGTGCAATGCAGGAGACCCCAATTCGATCTCTGAGTTGGCAACATCCCCTGGAGATGGGTTAGGCTACCCACTCCAGTATTCTTGGGCTTCTCTGGTGGCTCAGACAGTAAAGAATCTGCCTTTAGTGTGGGGTCCCAAGTTCGATCCCTGGGTTGGGAAGATT